AGGCTTCTCCTGACTCATGTGGCTGCAGATGCTGATGAACCCAAATTGGTAGGCCAGACCTTCTGGCTTCTGGCTCATAAGGCTGCATAAGCTGGTGAATTAGGTCAGATGATAGGCTGCTGGCCCATCGGGCTGCGGAAACTGGCCAATCTCTGAATCAGCAGGTCAGAATCAGCAGGTCAGACGGCAGGCCGCTGGCTCAAGTTCCAAGAACTGGAGGTCAGACAATGGCAAGCCAGACGCAGGATTCAGATGCAGAGAGAGAGAGAGAAAGCCTTGCCAGAGCAGCCACATATATACATTGGATGCAGGCCACACCCTAGGGAAGGGTGTGACTTGTAAGAGTGAGACTTGAGTCATGCCCTCCTGTAAGGCTGTGACTCAAGATAACACCTCACACTAATCCTATCTCATTAATATATGAAAACCCCACTGCTGTCAAGCCAATTCCGACTCATAGCGACCTGTAGGGTTTCCAAGGCTGTAAATCTCTATGGAAGCAGATTGCCACATCTTTCTCCCCTGGAGCCACTGCTGGTTTCGAACTGCCGACCTCTTGGTTATTAGTTGATGGCTTTAACCATTGAATTGTGTTCTCCAAAAACATGTGTCAGCTTGGCTCTGCCATGGTTCCCAGTATTGTGTGATTGCCCACCATTTTGTCATTTGATGTGATTTTCTTACTTTTTATAAATCCTGTCTCTATGATGTTAATGAGGCAGGATTAGAGGCAGTTATGTTAATGAGGCAGGTCTCAATCGACAAGATTAGGGTGTGTCTTGAGTCAATATCTTTTGGGATATAAAAGAGAGAAGTGAGCAGAGAGACAAGGGGATCTCATACCACCAAGAAAGAAGTGCCGGGAGCACATCTTCTCCTTCGGATCCAGGGTCTCTGCTGAGAAGCTCCTAGACCAGGGGAAGATTGATGACAAGGGCCTTCCTCCAGAGCCAACAGAGAAAGAAAGCCTACCCCTGGAGCTGGCACCCTGAATTTGGACTTCTAGGCTCCTAGACTATGAGAGAATAAATTTCTCTCTGTTAAAGCCATTCACTTGTGGTATTTCTGTTATAACAGCACGAGATAACTAAGACAGCCTCCTTCATCAAGTCGATTCTGACTCATAGTGACCCTATAGGACAGAGTAGAACTGCCCATAGGGTTTCCAAGGAGCGGCTGGTGAATTCGAACTGCTGAATTTTTTGGTTAGCAGCCTGAACTCTTAACCACTTTGTCATCAGGGCTCCTCATTAACATGTAGAGGTTAGGAATTACAACATATAAAATGGAGGATAGTTAGGAAAATTACATCAGATCACAAAATGGAGGACAGCCACACAATACTGGGAATCATGGCCTAGCCAAGCTGACGCACAACATCATCCACCACTCCTCTTTAGGGTTCCATACATCTTATTTACATGGTCCCACCCAATCATTGTGTGGGAGTCACAAAGACTATGGGTAAAAGGGCCATATTAAGTAATTCACTGCACCACAGCTCCCTTGAGTCTTTGGTTTTCTTCACTCTCCTTTGCTCTGGCCAGGAAGAGACCAATAGTTATATCTTAGATGAGAGCTCACAAGCTTTTAATAGATTTTGGGTTTTCACCTTTGTACACCTTGTTAACTCACTGGAAGATTTTAAAAAATTGCTTAATTAATTATTATTGTGGTAAATATACATGTAACAAAACATTTGCTATTTTCAACTATCTTTACATGTACAGTTCAGCAGAATTAATTATTTTCATCACGTTGTTCAACTATCACCCTTATTCATTCCCAGATTTTTCCATCGCCCTTAACAGAAGCTAAGTGTCCCTCACTGGAGGATTTTGAGAAGGAGAGTGACATGAACAGAACTAATTAAGCAAGACTGATGTCGGCAATAGTGTGTAGAGTGGGTAGCATGGGTGGATTCTAGAGGTAGACAGACCTGTTAGCTTCCTGTTATTTTTATAGTCTGTTCTAGGCTAAAGGGTATCAGAGCCTGAACCAGGAGTGTGCATCAGGAGTGAAAGAAGAGGTTCCTAACCTGCTTTCTTTCAGTAACAAGCATGTCCAAGGAACATAACAAACACCAACCACTACAATGTTGCCCCATCACTAACTCTATGTCTGTGGAGGTAAATCTATATAATTTGGTTTGTGGAGGCCCAGGAGTGAGACTACTAACTCAGTAAGTTGCACAAGCCCAAAACTGGGGAGTCATCTTTGACCAACTTCTTTCACCTTTGCCCAACTTCTTTCACCTTTGCCCTCCAGATTCATTTGGTCAATAAGTCATGCTGATTTTACCTTCTTAATGATTCTCAAATTTATTCCCTCTTCTCCAGTTTGACTGCCACTGGTTTCTTCCAAAGTTCCTTGACTTCTCTAGACTGGGTTAGGTGTCCTTCATCTGTCTTCCTATTGCATTTTGTGCATAACTTTACTGTGGGACTTAGCACATTCATACTGCATTGGAATGTTTACTCACGTCTTTTCCACTCAGCCATGAAGTTCTTAGCGGCAGTCAAAATTCTTAAAACTTCATTGCCTCGCGGTGTGTCTGGCATATACCAAAACCAAAGCTGTTGCTGTCGAGTCGACTCCAACTCATAGTGACCCTATAGGACAGAGTAGAACTGCCCCATAGAGTTTCCAAGGAGTGCCTGATGGATTTGAACTGCTGACCTTTTGGTTAGCAGCTGTAGCACTTAACCACTACGCCACCATGGTTTCCATCTGGCGTATAGTAAGGCTTGATAAATGTTTGGTAAAGGCAGATGACCTTGGTATTGTTTCGCCCAGCTCACAGAATTAAATGCCATGTTTACTGCATCCTTACTATGTATCAGGCACATGAATAAAAAGATGAGAAACAATTTCTGCTCTGGAGGAGCTCAGAATAACAGCAAGGGTAATAAAGCGATAATAAGCGCTAACAGATTGTGTGACTTTGGGCCAATTATTTAATAACCCTGAGTCTCAGTTTTTTAACTGTAAAATGAGTTTATAACTTATATTTTAACCCTTACAAGAATTTGTAAGATAGGTTATAATGCAACTAATATAATCCTTACAAATTCTCTGAAGGATTAAAACAAACTATTGTCAAGGATTTCATTTTACTTGGATCCACAATCAATGCCCATGGAAGCAGCAGTCAAGAAATCAAATGACGCAGTGCATTGGGCAAATCTGCTGCAAAAGATCTCTTTAGAGTGTTAAAAAGCCAAGATGTCACTTTAAGGACAAAGGTGTGCCTGACCCAAGCCATAATGTTTTCAATCGCCTCATATGCACGTGAAAGCTGGACAATGAATAAGGAAGACGGAAGGAGAATCAATGAGCTTGAACTATGGTGCTGGTGAAGAATATTGAATATACCATGGCCTTCGAGAAGAACGAACAAATCTGTCTTGGAAGAAGTACAGACAGAATTTTGATTAGAAGCAAGGATGGTGAGACCTCGTCTCACATACTTTGGACATGTTATCAGGAAGGACCAGTCCCTGGAGAAGGACATCATGCTTGGTAGACTAGAGAGTCAGCGAAAAAGAGGAAGACCTTCAAGGAGATGGATTGACACAGTGGCTGCAAGAATGGGCTCCAGCATAACGATTGTGAGAATGGCGCAGGACCGGGCAGGGTTTCAATGGCACCTAACAACAACAACATTGTTTCTAAAGAACTTAACATAGTAGGCATAGTTTTTATTATTATGAAGATGAGCCGAGCACCGGAATAACCATAATGAAAGAGAAAAGTGTTAGTAGCCATTAGGTGTCTTAAGAGTTTAGTAGAAAATGTGATCATGGATCTTGGTATGGTTTCAAGACCAAGGCCTTAGCAATCTCTTAACCAAAAACCCACTGCCATCGAGTCCATTCCAACTTATAGCAACTCAGTAGGACAGAGTAGAACTGCCCCATAATCTTTTATGCACCTACTGCCTAGTGACTCCATAGGGTTTCCAAGGCTGTAATCTCTACGGAAGCTGACTGCCACACCTTTCTCCCTCAGAGCCACTGGTGGTTTCAGACTGGCAACCTTTCAGTTAGCAGTCGATGGCTTTAACCACTGTGCAACCAGGACTCCTTCATAATCTCTTAGAGGCTTAGAAATAAGTCCTGGACCCGGAGTTAAAAGCTCAAATACCGACAGGGGTCAGGCAGTTACTGTATCAAAAGCTACACATTAGAATCACCGGGAAACTTCAAAGCCAAACAATGGCCAGGCACTAACCAAAACTAATCAGAATTTATCGGAGCAGATCCCCAGCATTTGTGATGCTCTAATGAGCAGGCAGGGTTAAGACTACTGTAATTCTAAATAAATGAGGACGGTAAGATGGGCGAACAGGAGCGTCATTTCCCTCTTACTCCGGTTGACTCTTGTAAATAAACTCGCTAACTTTTCTAAAAATTCCAGAATTTCATGCAAAATTTCCCAAACTCTAAAATGTTGGCAAGTAATTTAAAAAGACAAAAAACACTTGGGACGGAGATATGTCAAAGAAAACATGGATACTGGCCATACTGGGCGTCACATAGGCTTGTAAACTTTCTTGCAGTTAAATCTCTGGCTTAAAGAAATAAATTGACACTGAGAGAAAACAACTTGCCCAAGATCACAGTAAGTCAGGATGAGAGTCAAGACTAAAACCCTGTCCTTTTGAATTTCAGTTAAGGTTCCTTTTATGTCATGGAGGGTACACTTGGAGATGCGTTTTGAAAAATGGGCAAGACTGTGGAAAGAGAGACGTCGTTTTGGGCTGATGGAAGTCAAGAACAGTACCCCTATTGCCCTGCTGCTAGTAACGCCAGCCGACTCTCAAAATGCCAGAAGCAAAACGCGTTTAGCCAGTCTCTAGGTGAGCAAGGCGAACGGATCACGCATGCGCTTTCCACAGGCGGCACCATGAGAGGAGGGGCAGGTAAAGGACGATGAATTACGACCTCTGCTGGTGGCGCTCACGACTCCTGCCGTAAAGGTCGCGTGTGGCGCATGCGCACCTCCTCTCCCTTTCGGCTTTCGGACACGGTAACTGCTGTGAGTTGTGCCGCCCGTATTGTCGACATGGTGAAGCTGAGCAAAGAGGCCAAGCAAAGGCTGCAGCAGCTCTTCAAGGGCGGCCAGTTTGCAATCCGCTGGGGTTTCATCCCTCTCGTGATTTACCTGGGTTAGTGGGAGAAGAACTTTAGAGAAGACCGGAAGGCAGGGGGTGCGGGGCTTCAATTCCATTTTTGACTTTCGGGGTCCGCAGAGGGGAACAGGGACCCTTCCATGCGCTTCCACTGAGGGGGTCTGGTCTAGTGGAGTCTGATTGGAGTCCGAGTTCTTTACGATCCCTTATTGTACCAGTTGCTGTGAAATCTATTCAGACTCATAGTGACCTCGTGTGCCAGAATAGAACTGTGCACCATAGGGTTTTTAGTGGTTAATTTTTTGGAAGTAGATTGCCAGGGCTTTCTTCCATCCTTTACTAGTTGGGTGATCTTTAAATCATGTAATCCCTTCCGTATTTTTACATCATGGAGGCGAGACTTCTCAGGATTGTTGTGAAGGTTAGATGACATGGTGTATGTGAAAGTGTCTCATTCGCTGTATGGCACTAGGTGAGTTTTCTGAGCCTTTCTCCTCACCTCTCTAGGCAGGCCTAAATGAAAAGAGGCCTGTGCTGGGAATTCAGAGACCTCGTGGATATGCCACTGCCTTGAAGATCATAACAATAGTCGTTGAATGCCTTGGTTTTCTCACCTGCACAATGAAGGGCTTGAATGATTGTTAATCATTGGCCCCATTTTACAGGCGAGGAAACGGAATCCTAGAGAAGTTATATGCCTTGCCCGAGGCCGCACAGCTGTTAAGTAGGGGAGCTATGACCTCAGGCAGAGGTGCATCCAGGTCCATCTTCATAACCATTGTGCTATACTGCAAGGATTTGTAAGTATTCAGACAAATATTTCCACCTAGGGCTGCGTACTGGAACCTTATGTGTGTAGTTTATCCTAGGGTAGTTTTTTCTTTTTAATCTTATTCCCCTACTCAGGCAATATTGTGGAAGGGAAACCATAGGTTTTAGTTCCACCTCTGTTACCTTGAGCATACAGCTTGACGTTTCTAAAACGCAGTTTCACACTTCAAAATCCTATTATTCTAACAAGGTGCTGCTTCCTATTTAGGTGTCATTCACTGTGTGTACACTCAGACTTAACAGAGCCTGTGATGATTCTATGCATTCTCTAGGCAGCTACACTCCCATTTTGCCATAATTTGCAAGCCAACTGTAATAACTGGATCCTTCAGTATATAGAGCTTGAGAGGGTCTTTTTTCTTCCCTTATTCTGAAGGCAATTCTTACTACTTTTTCAAATTTCAGTGACTATATAGGAATCAAGGATTAGAGCAAATGATTATGATAGCCTTAATTTGGAAGCTATGTTGTCTTCCTGGTATCTCCCACCCATGCCCTAGCTTTCATGTAGTGGTGGAACGGCCCAGCTTGGCTGGTCAAACACTGAGTCTAGCTTTCCTTTTACCTAAGAAGGGAAGGTAAAGGTATGGGAACGTTGATTCTTCCTCCTTTTTGTGCCACCCCTTTTACCCACCCTCGTACACAGGATGTCCGGTGTTAGTCAGCTCTTGCTTTCTTTGTCTCTGGTTTCTTGGCTGCTCTATAAGTCTTTTCGTCTACGTTTCTTTCCTCCTGTTTTGAGATTCCTTTTTTACTGCCAGAAAGCTGTAGCTGGTCACTACAATTTATGTACCGAAGGCTTTGGTCTCAAGAGAAGATAAACCTTTCTTTTTCTACCCTAGAGTTCATATTTCTTTTTACGCGTACTGGCTGTATTCTTTTTCCCAGGACTCCCATTGTGGCAATTTTCACCCTAGCATACAAGTTAGGTTATTTGAGATTGATGTTAGGCTGTATTTCCAGTACCTCCTCATTAATCATTGCCTTTTTCCTTAGATTGTTTGTAACATTTAATGTTTAGTCTAATCCAGTTCCTGGGTTGTTTCCTTTACTTGCTTCACTTCAGCTTCCTAAAACCTGCAACTACAGGTTGAACTTCTTGTGTAATTTAGGTTCACACGTACCTTTTGGGGCTTCAGGGAGTGTAGTGCTATAAAATAGGACAAACAGTAACATGAAGATAAAGAATATGTCTAGACATTTATCAACAAAACAAAAAGGTTTAAATGAGCCAGCTGTTGGGTGACAATCTCCATCGTCTCTTGCATTTCTGTAGATTTTGTGAGCGTATTATCTTTTTTTTCCCCCAGATTTTGTTTAGGTCTTTTTATTTTCATTTAAGTTACAAAACAAAGATAACTTCTGCATAATTTCTACCACTAGATTATGAGCTTAATTTTTTTTTTAAATGTGTTTTTGGTGAAAGTTTACACAGCAGATATTGGTTTTCATTTAACAATTTCTATACATATTGTTTAATGACATTTGTTACATTTTTCACAATACATCATTGTTCTCATTATTTCCCTTTTGGTGGTTCTGTTTCCCTTAATCTAACTTCCCTGTCTCCTCTTACCTTCTCATCTTTGGTCTAGGGAAAATGTTTACCGTTAGGTTTCATTTATATGATTATTTAAAGAAGTACAGTACTGTTGGGTGGTACTAATTTATATTATGGGCCAATCAGTCATTTGGCAGCGTATTATCTTCTAAAGGATGTTTTAAGACAAAACACACTTGGAAGATAATACCTTCCTCCAGAACAAAGGGCAGACATGCTTGTTGTTGTTAGGTGCCATCCAGTCTGACTCATAGTGACTCTATGCACAATAGAACAAAACACTGCCTGGTACTGTGCCATCCTCACAATTGTTGCTGTGTTTGAGCCCATTGTTGTAGCCACTGTGTCAGTCTGTCTCACTGAAGGTCTTCCTATTTTTTGTTGACCCTCTACCTCACCAAGTATGACGTCCTTCTCCAGGCACTGGTCCCTCCTGATAACGTGTCCAAAGTACGTGAGACAAAGTCATGACATCCTCACTTCTGAGGAGTACTCTGGCTGTACTTCTTCCAAGACAGAACTTGTTCGTTCTTCTAGCAGACCATGGTATAGTCAATATTTTTGCCAACACCATAATTCAGAGGCATCAGTTCTTCAGTCTTCCTTATTCATTGTCCAGCTTTTGCGTGCATATGAGGCAGTTGGAAATATCATGGCTTGGGACAGGCATACCTTAGTACTCAAAGTGACATCTTGGCTTTTGAACACTTCAAAGAGGTCTTTTGCAGCAGATTTATCCAATGCAATACATTGTTTGATATCTTGACTGCTGCTTTCATGGGCGTTGATCGTAGATCCAAGTAAAATGAAATCGTTGACAACTTCAGTCTGTTTGTCAAGATGTTGCTTATTGGTCCAGTTGTGAGGATTTTTGTTTTCTTTATGTTGAGGTGTAGTCCATACTGAAGGCTGTGGTCTTTGATCTTGATCATTAAATGCTTGAAGACCTCTTTGCTTTCAGCAAGCAAGGTTGTATCATGTGCATATTACAGGTTGTTGATGAGTCTTCCTCCAGTCCTGATGCTGCATTCTTCATATAGTCCAGCTTCTTGGATTATTTGCTCAGCTTATAGATTGAGTGAGTATGGTGAAAGGATACAACCCTGATGCACACCTTTCCTGATTTTAAACCAGTATTTCCTGGTTCTGTTTGAACGACTGCTTCTTGGTCTATGTACAGGTTCTGCATGAGTGCAGTGTAGTGTTCTGGAATTCCCATTCTTTGTAACGTTATCCATAATTTGTTGTGGTCCACACAGTCGAATGCCTTTGCATAGTCAGTAAAACACAGGTAAACATCTTTCTGGCATTCTCCACTTTCAGCCAGGATCCATCTGACATTAGCAGTGATATCCCTAGTTCCGCGTCCTCTTCTGAATTGAGCTTTAATTTCTGGCAGTTCCCTGTCGATATACTGCTGCAAACGCTTTTGAATGATCTTCGGCAAAATTTTACTTGTGTGTGATATTAATGATACTGTTCAGTAATGTCCATATTCTGTTGGATCACCCTTCTTTGGAGTGGGCATAAATATGGATCTCTTCCAGTTGGTTGGCTGGGTAGCTGTCTTTCAAATTTCTTGGCATAGATGAGTGAGCACTTGCAGAGCTGCATCCGTTTGTTGAAACATCTTAATTGGTATTCTGTCAGTTCCTAGAGCCTTGTTTTTTGCCAGTGTCTTCAATGCAGCTTGGACTTCTTCCTTCAGTACCATTGGTTCTTGATCATGTGCTACCTCCTGAAATGATTGAATGTTGACCAATTCTTTTTGGTATAGTGACTGTATTCCTTCCATCTTTTGATGCTTCCTGCATCATTCAGTATTTTCCCCATAGAGTTCTTCCCTATTGCAACTTGAGGCTTGAATTTTTTCTTCAGTTCTTTCAGCTTGAGAATGCTGAGCGTGTTCTTCTCTTTTGGCTTTCTAACTGCAGGTCTTTGCACATTTCATTATAAAACTTTGCTTTGTCTTCTCAAGCTGCTCTTTGAAATATTCTGTTCAGCTCTTTTACTTCATCATTTCTTCCACTCACTTTAGTTACTCGATGTTCAAGAGCAAGTTTCAGAGTCTTTTTGACATCCATTTTGGTCTTTTCTTTGTTTCCTGTCTTTTTAATGACCTCTTTCTTTATGTATGATGTCCTTGATGTCATTCCACAACCCGTCTGGTCTTCAGTCATTAGTGTTCATTGCGTCAAGTCTGTTCTTGAGATGGTCTCGAAATTCATGTGGGATATACTCGAGGTCGTGCTTAGGCTCTTGTGGACTTGTTCTGATTTTCTTCAGTTTTAACTTAAACTTGCGTATGAGCAATTGATGGTCTGTCCTGCAGTTGGCCCTTGGCCTTGTTCTGACTGATGGTGTTGAACTTCTCGGTTGTCTTTCCACACATGTAATCCATTTGATTCCTGTGTTTTCCATCTGGCGAGGTCCAAGTGTATCGTTGCCGTTTATGTTGTTAAGGAAAGGTATTTGCAGTGAAGAAGTTGTTGATCTTGCAAAATTCAGTCATGTGATTTCCGGCATTGTTTTTATCACCAAGGGTATATTTTCCAACTACTGGTCCTTCTTTGTTTCCAACTTTTGCATTCCAATCACCAGTAATTATCAGTGCATCTTGATTGCATGTTTGATCAATTTCAGACTGCAGAAGTTGGAAAATCTTCAGTTTCTTCATCTCTGGCCTTAGTGGCTCATTTTCCAGCACTATATCAGGCAGTGTTCCGTTGCTATTCACAAGGTTTTCACTGGCCAGTTTTTTCAGAAGTAGACTGCCAGGTCCTTCTTACTAGTCTAAGTCTGGAAGCTCCGCTGAAACCTGTTCACCATGGATGACCCTGCTGATATTTGAAATACCGGTGGCATATCTTCCAGCATCACAGCAACACGTAAGCCACCCACAGTACAACAAACTGACAGAGGAGTAGTGGCCCAGCATAGTAGACCATAGGAGTGTCTGATTCAAAATGGCCAATACCAGTCCATTTCAGTTCACTAATGCCTAGGATATTGATCTTTATGCATTCCATTTCATTTTTGACAATTTCCAGTTTTCCTAGATTTGTATTTTGTACGTTCTGCGTTCCGATTATTAATGGATGTTTGCAGCTTTTTCTTCTCATTTGGAGTTATGCCACATCAGCAAAGGAAGGTTCTGAAAGCTTTACTCTATCTACATCATTAAGGTCAATTCTACTTTGAGGAGGCAGCTCAAATACACTGCTGGTATTTGAAACACTGGTGGCATAGTTTCCGGCATCCTAGCAACACATGAGCCACCACAGTACGACAAACTGACAGATGTATGCTTACTGCCTATTATAAAAGCTTCTTTTTCCCTAAGCTTGGGGTTTCTCTTTGGTATAGCAGTCCATTGTGTGTGCAGGTATCTCCTTTGTGTGAAAATTGGGGCTTGAGTAACTGAAGCAAAAATAATGATACTCTGACTGCAGCTGTTGCTGGAAATAATAAACTATCTTCGTTTCTGATTTGAGAAATCTTCTGCCTTCTATCAGCATCCATGAAACTGTTAGGCTAATTTGACTTGAAAATAGGTTAAAATCTCATACTCTTCACTGTTCTTGACACCAACTTTAATTTTAATCACCTATTGCAGCAAATTGTATATTTGTCACCAAGTTGATTTATTTATCTATTTTTGATGGTAAATGAGGTTTATTTAACCATACTTATAATTAGGAGAGTTGGTTTAATTGTTAAGTAATAACTATTGAATGATTTTGCTCCTTTTTTTCTATTACGAGTTTTTGATTATAAAAAAAGTTCATGGGGCATGAAATAAGGTATTCTCAGTTTTGTAAAAAAAAGTTTAGGTTTTCTTTTTTTATTCTTTATGCTTTTGGTAGTCTTTTATCCAATATGAGAGTTGTAATATCTTATTTCTGGGTAAGGACTAATAATGAAAGATAGAGCACGCTAAGGTCTATTGTGCTAGTGCTGTGTATAACAGGAATTGATTAGCCATGTAAAATCTCATACTCTAGTGAAAGATTTGAGGCTGTTCTGCAGCACAGCCGCATCTAGGTAGTGCTGGTAGATCTGGATGTCATTCTAGCTACCCATGTTTGATTATAAGAAATAAAGTCTTGATTGTAAATTTTTTGACTGCTGGAATTCTAATTAGTATTTCTTTTTTTTCCCCTTCTCAGGATTTAAGAGGGGTGCAGATCCTGGAATGCCTGAACCAACCGTTTTGAGGTACTTCTCTTACAAGTTAACATTTCAGGGCAGATTTTCATATATAGCACTGAATCCATTGGAAAGCAAAATAATAGTAGTGGTAGGCATTAAAATGGAGCTTTCTAAATTGTTATCGTTTTGGGCTGTTGGAAAACTGCAAGTCTAGCTTATGTTAACAGTATGTATACACATGTATACACGTGTGTGTATACTTGGGAAAACCATATAAAACTATACATATACACTTATATATAAATACATACAGATATGTTTATATAAATGAATCTCAAACAGAGGCAAGTTTTGCTTGCTCTGAAGGGTGGACTGATCTCATGGCACTATGATAACCTGGACCACTGATATTGAAGCTATGGGATTTCCACTTGACTCTGTTCTCACAGACATCTCTTAGGGATTCCCCTGACAGACTTTTCACTGACTGCTAGGTCTTCAATTTCTTTAAACTCCTACTCTAAGCCACTTTGTTCTACAGTAGACAATCACTGTTTTAAGTGCTTTGTACACAATATCTCTTAATTGTCACTTCGGTTTTTCAAAACAGGTCACACAGTCAGTAGGTGGTAGAATATATCTCCAAAGCCCATTCTCTTTCCACTGGGTCACACGGCCTTCCCCAGATAATCTTACCTCTTACTTAGCACAGTGCCATTTGATATGAGTTTCCTCCATCCACTCTGCCTTGCAGTCTCTCCTTTCTCAGAGGAAGGCTTTTCTTTTTTTCATGTCTCAGAAGTTACCACCATATCTGCCCTTCACCTGTCTACTTCTGCGGTTATTCTCTGTTCCCTGATAAAATTCTTCAACAAGTGGTCTCCATTTACTACTTCCTTTCTTCACCTCTGTCTCTCCTTTTAACCCTTCTGATATGGCTTCCTAAAACTATTTTCTGAGATCCCCACTGAGTTCAGTTTTTCTTAACCCTTCCTATGGGAGCTATCAGTTTCCTTTTCTGTATAATGGGGAGTGAGGTAATATATCTGCTCCTTACTAGCTGAGTGATTTTAGACCAGTTGTTTCCTTAGGGAAACGTTACCTTAGGAAACATCATCCAAGATGGGCCTACTGGGTCAAAGTATGTGACCATTTTCCAGGCACCAGAAGTTATCATCAAATAGCTTTCCCTGAAAGGTCACTAACCTTTCTAAGCTTTAGTTGCCTCTTGTATAAGTTGGGCATCATAATACCTACTTCATAAGCTTGCCGTTAGGATTGAGTAAGAATAATGTATGTACAGTATTAACAGTACTTGTCAAGTAATATGTGATCAATAAACTTAATAGTAATTTTTAAACTTTTTCTGTGTCATGTCCTTTACCCCCACTTCCTTTGCTTGTGATTACTATGCTCTAGCTATATAATACTGCATGCTAGTTCCTGAAAAAACTGTATTTTGATGGCTTTGTCCATATACTTGAGTTTCCTCAGCCTGAAATGCTCATTCCCCTCAGTTTCCACTTGATGAAAGCCTGCTTCTAGAAAGGCCCAGTCCCAAATGTTGCCTCTTCCTTAAATCTTTTCCCCATTCTCCTAGCTGAAACCACTCCCTTTTTTGTTTTCCCATAGTGTTCTTTTGTGTCTGTCATTCTCTGCCTTATATTATGGTTATGGCTTATTTACTTATATTTTGTCCTGTGAGCATCTAAAGAAGCCGTTCAACAAGTGCTGAATTAATTAAATGGACTTCACCCCTTGGTGGTCTATTGGACAGGAATAGTTACAGGATTGCATCTTGTGGTATGATTTCCCTGAATGCTGGGGAATAGCATTTTTTGTGCTGGGATCCAGAGGTGGGATACAGTGTGGTCCTCTGTTGTACTACTTTTTTTGGCTTCAATTAACCCACTAAGATTTGGCCCTTAAAAACTGTAGACTAGATTTTGCAACTCCCTTGCTATTCATTTCTTCACCTTTCTGCCTTTTCGGTGTTCCCCTTCTTTCTGGTGCTAACTCTCAATCTTTTCTGTCATTAGGGGCATCTGACTTCCTTCTAAGGGTAATTGTGTTCTAGGAAAGAATTGACTGAGTGCCCGAAAAGGGTTCTTCAGTTACGGAATTTCATACTGTGCCACCTGGGCTGGGGAGACTGACTAGCGAGGTCTTCCTTGGTTGCCTAGTCTGTAGTCTGAAAGGAACATAATTGTAGCTGCTATGGTTTTTATTAATATAAAGTTAATATATAAATTATTGTTTATATAATAGTTATGTACTTAATTATTATAGTTAATGATTTACTGATTTGTTTACTCCATCAAGTTATTAGGTTCCTTGTGATAGAACCACATTTGTCTCAGTATCTTTGTCTTCACCTAGGATGGTAATTGTAGGTGGTCAGCGAATGTTGGTTGACATGAATGCCCTATTTAAAATGCAGTTCTTTAATGAATAGGGGGCAAAATGTTAGTAAAACATTGTTTAGACAAAATATATGAGTACCAAGGTTAAATAAGAGAATCATTATTCCTATTGCCCATATACAAGGCTAAGGAAGGTTCCTTTTCTCTTTATTTTGGATGCTCATTACGACAGAAGAGACCTTAGTAAGTGGAGAATTTATTTTCACATCTAACTGTATGCTAAAGTACTTGGGGTTTAATGGGGACTTTAATACACATTTGAAAATTGGAAATAAGATGCATGTTTGATTTTTTTTTTTTTTTTCTCTTTAGCTAGGCACAAGTAAAATACTTTTTAAAAATAAACTTTACAAAATGCTCTGATTGTCATTTTGTAATGCAGTTTTATTTAATTGGACGTGATACAATAAATCCTATTTTTAATCAGCAGGATTTAGAAATGAAACATCTTTTTTCTCCTTCCTGGATCTTCTTTAGATTCAGCAAGTGATTTGGGAGTTTGTTAGTTTTATATAAGTTGCTGGAATGTTTACAGTAAGAATCAATTGATATGGAAATGAGACTAATTACCCTTAGGGAGGTGTGTAAACTAATGATTAAGAGCACCTGGGTCACGTACCCTTCTGCCACTTAGGATAAGAATGCTTTCAGAGCCTCAAGAGATCATAATTGGGAATTTTGTGGCACAGTGGTTAAGAGCTTGGCTGCTAACCAAAAGGTGAGCAGTTTGAATCCACCAGGCGTTCCTTGAAACCCTATGAGGTAGTTCTCTGTCCTGTAGGGTCGCTATGAGTCAGAATCGACTCAACAGCAGTGGGTTTGTTTTTTTTTTTTTTGGTTTGGTGGTAAACTTGAACCATAGTGCCCGATGCATGGAAATGTTATTTTTACTGTTACTTATACTCTATCTAATAATGATACAGCTTTATTTTCCGGTTTCATCAGTCCTTGAAATTAAAAAAAAATATATATATAAAATTATGGTAAATATATATGTAACAGAACATTTGACATTTCAACAGTCTTCACATGTACAGTCAATTGACAGTAATTATGCTTATCATGTTGTTAAAGCATGAATCTTACTGTTTCCAAACGATACCATCACCCTTAACAGAAACTTAATGTCCCCTAAGCATTGAGTCTTCTTTTTTCCTTCCCTCCTGCCCACCCCTGGTAGCACTAATAAACTTTGGCCTCTATTTACTTGCCTTTTCTAGGTATTTCATATAAATGGGATCATACAACATTTGTCCTTTTGTGTCAGACCTGGCATGTTAATGAAAATCATTAGTCATTTATCTTTTAATTGATCTCATTTTAAATATCAACTTACATTTTCCTTTTTGTTTATAATAGGTAACAGCACTCAAAAGTAACAAAACTGAATTTCTTTAAATATAATTCTGTCTGGTTGATTTTTTGCTGATTCAGATTCATGCTTATTGTCTAGTAACTCTAGATGTATCTAATGTGATAGACAAGTAAACACAAACATAAATGTATAAAATCTTCAGGTCTTTAAAAGTTTTTATTTTTGGGTTTAATTTGTTTTTCCTCTTCATAAACATTGTAGCCTACTTTGGGGATGAAGGACTATTTGGTCATCTGGATTTGGAAGCTATCATGGATAGGAAAGACATGGAAGGTGTGCACTCTGGCTGGGCTAAGAAATGGGACATCGTTGAGACATTATCGCCAGTTGGACGTCACAGGGCTCTTCACAGATGCATCTTAGCAGAGTGGAACCTTTACTGAGTTACTTATGATAGACTGTATCAAAATAAAGGTTTCTAACAGTGTTCTGTCTTGAGTCCTTTTTGAATTGAACATAGGATGACCATCAGGTAAAAATTAAGCCTTTTGGTAAATTTTTTAACTGAGTATGTGTATGTGGCTAGATGGTACCTTAAGAAATAAGAAAATTTCCAAGTTAATTCCTGGCTGTTCACTTAACAAATGGATTCTGATTTCCCCTTGCAGTTAATTAATATCTCCTTCTAGAATGTCCTTAGGTGGTAAAAGTAGACAGGTCTGTTTGTGACAAACTGCATTGGAGGAAGTTTCCAACTGTCAGAAATAGGGACCCTGGTATCTCTGTTGCTAGGGGGTGGGAATGTCATTGGCTATTTGTGTCTGATTTATTTGTGTAAGTCAAATGTGAGTTTAAGATTTCCCTCGGTGATGATAGACTAGAGCTGGCTGTGCAAGAGCCCATGGAGAGCTACGTGGAATAATAGCACTTTATATTTTTTAGTAGAAGACAGGGCAGTTAATGGGAACTAGTTTCTAGTTCTAGACACTGATTTCCTGAGACCTTGTATTTGAAGTCTATTTTTATTATTTAGCATTTTACGTTCCTTTAACAAAATAACACTATTTACTTGGTTTTGAGAGTGATAATTAATGTGGGAAAGTAGAATTGGAAACAAGGTATGAATACAGTTCGGGAGGAGCCCAGCGAGTTGGCTGCTTAAAACATCCAGTGTTGAAATAAAGATCATGAATGTAATTCCCTCTCAGGTACTGGAGCTATCGTTACCAGAAAGTTCTTCCTATTTCTGATGTAGAAGCCTTTTAGCTATTTAAGCCTGTTTCCTCAAGTTTTGTTATCATTGCCATGGAGACTAGAGGATTATTGTAGAGGGTTATTGCATAAGGGGATTTTAAAGTGGAATTCTTGAGAGCTAACTGCAGAAAAACCATTTTCAATAAGTACTTAATGTAATTGCTTCAACATCCCTATGAATCTAGGCATATATATTATTTTGCAAGTAAGGATTCCAGAGTTAAATAGGAAGGGACCAGCTCCCTCACCTGTCTCATCTGAGGAAGTTAAGGCACAGGATAAGAGCTGAGACTAGTACTTCAATTATGCATATGTCTTATTTAAAGTTTGTGAAATGTTTAAACCTAAAAGTGCCTACATTTTACTGAAGATTTTAGGGCAGTGCAATCCAATTCAATAAGCATGTATTGGTTTCTGCTCTACTAGACACTGGAGAGTCCTTACAACTAAGATTATTGCTGGCCTTGATTTGCTGAGGGATGAACACTGAGCAGAGAGGACCTAATTTGCATCCTGGCCCTGCTATTTTGTTCCTGGTACCCTCTGGAGAAGTCAGACTTTTTAGGCTTCAGTTTTTCCATAAAAGAGGAATAATAATACTTGCCCCAAGATGTTATTCCCTAGACCACAGCTTCTCCTAGCTGGTCCTAGACTAGCATCTCTTGGAAACTTGTTACAAAATGCAACTTTTTAGGCCCCACCCCAGATCTGAATCTGAAACTGGAGGTGGAACCCAGTAATCTGTTTTTGGCTTTTAATTTCTTCAACCAGTTTTAAAATTAAACTTTTTGAGATAATTGTAGAATTACATGAATCTGTAACAAATAATACAGAAAGATCCTGTGTATCCTTTACCCAGTTTCCCTCAATGGTAACATCTTGCAAAACTATAGTACAGTATCACAATATTGATAACTGATAATAGTCAAGACACAACATTTGTGTGACTACAAAGATCCCTCATGTTGCCCTTTTATAGATGCCACCCCCTTCGCCTGTCCCTAACTCCTGGCAGCCACTAATTGAACGGTTCTCCATTTTAATAATTTTGTCATTGCAAAAATCTTAACACAAGTGGAACCATACAGTAAGCTTTTAGGATAGGCTTTTTTTTTTCTCAGCATAATTCTCTAGAGATTCGTCCAGATTGCTATACATTTCATAGTTCATTTCTTTTTATTGCTGAGTAGTAGTTCATGTTATGGATGTACGACATCCGTAAAGGACATCTGGATTGTTCCCCATTGTTAGCTGTTATGCATAAAGCTGCAATGAGCATGTATAGATTTTTGTGTGATCAGTCTGTGTTTTAATAAGCCCTCCAGGTTATTCTGATGCAGATGAGGTTTGAGAACCACTACTGTGGACTGTTGCAGTAGCCCTTCTGTTTCCACATATGCTCTACAGTCTGTTCACATGATAGCCAGAGTGATCCTTTTAAAAGTCAGGTCACGTCAAAACTCGGTCAAAACTTTCCAGTGGCTTCCCATCTCACTTGGGATAGAATCCCAAGTCCTTACTTTCCATGACTTACAAACCAGTTGCTGTTGAGTCAGCTTTGACTCATGGTGACCACGTGTGTCAGTGTAGAATTGTGCTCCATAGTGACCTACAAGGACCTGTGTAATCTAGCCTTATGGGTCCGTGGTCTCTTCATCGCTTAAGACTCCTCTCGTACATGTGTACTCTAGTTGTTTTGGTCTTTTTCTGTCCTTCAAAGAGGCCAGGTCTGTTGTCACCTCAGAATCTTTGCACTAGCTGTTATAGATTGAATTATGCCCACCAAAGTATGTGTTGAAATCCTAACCCCTGTACTTGTAAATATGACCCTATTTGGAAATAGAGGTTTTCTTTCGTTATGTTAATGCAGCCGTACCAGTGTAGAGTGGGTCCTAAACCCAATCACTTCTGAGTTACAAAAAGAGCAGAATAGACATAGCCGTACATAGGGGGAAGAGGAGGATAGATGACAGATGACATCTACAAGCCCAAGAATACCAAGGATTGTTGGCAGCTGCTAGAAGGTGGAATAGACAAAGAAGTCCCTTACTCTAGAGCCATGACTTGAATTTGGACTTCTAGCCTCTGAACTGTGAGAAAATAAATTTCTGTTCTTTAAAGCCACCCACTTGTGCAGTTACTGTTATAGAGTACTAGGTAACTAAGACGCTAGCTATTCTCTGCCTGGAACTCTCTTCTCTCAGATATTCTTATGCCTGGTTTCCTCTTTTTATTATAGTCTGCCCAAATGTCACCTTATTAGAGAGGGCTTCCATGATCCTTGTCTAAAGTAGTAAACCCTAGCACTGTCTTGCCTTCTTCTGATCCCACCTTAGTTTTCTTAAAAAGACTTTTATCCACCTGATTGATATTGAAATCTGTCTATCTAATCTTTCGGAGCCCTGGTGGCACAGTGGTTAAAGCACTTGACTGCTAACCAAAAGGTTGGTGGTTTGAACCCACGAGCTGCTTCATGGGAGAAAGATGTGGCAGTCTGCTTCCATAAAGATTTACAGCCTTGGAAACTCTATGGGGCAGTTCTACTTTGTCTTATAGGGTTGCTATTAGTTGGAATCGATTCAATGGCAATGAGTTTTGGATCTCTCTCTAGCTCTCTATCTCTCTATCATCTGTCTCTATTATTGTTATCATTATTTAAAGTAAAACTCTTCTAAAGTATTGCCACCCTTCACTGACATGTCTTAGAGTCCCAAATTCCAACCTTGGTAATTTATTTCTCTGCATTATCTGTTATAGCTCCAGGACTATTATGTTAAATGAGAACCTATCTATAAGGGATTAGAGATGAATTACATTTTGTTAATTAGTATATCTATTGCTCAATATGCAAAGCTTGAGGAATACTATTGAGTAAGAAGCACTGTAGTTTGGTTTCCAGACTCTAGATGTGGAGAGGGTGAGGATCTACAAAAGGGGAGTTTTGAATCGTCCAGACATTCTTTCTGTTTAATTTTTCTGCGCAAGGTTAATCCTAAATTATTGTGTAGATGTCCTTACCAGGTAAGTATTATTTTAAATCCCACTCTTCCCTTACCTTTTCTCTTATTAGAAAATAACTCGCTTGAGAGAAAAAGGAGAGTCATTTTTTTTTTTTAATTCTTCAAAGAAAAAGATAAATGAGGGGAGTACCTTCTGAATAATGGATTTAAGATGATTTTTATTCTATTTTTTCCATTCTTTTTTTTTCTTTCTGTGATTCATTTTGGATATATTCTATTGACCTGTCTTCAAGTTTAGTAATCCTGTTTTCTGTTGTGCTGTGAACCTATCCAATAAATTCTTAATTTCTGATATTGTATTTTGCAGTTATTGGATATCTACTTGATTCTTTTAAAAAATAGTTCTGATTTTCTGTTGATATACTCCATCTTTTCATCCACATTGTCAATCTTCTATTTTCTTTAATGTATTCATTATAATCATTTTGAAGTCTTCCCTGCTAACACTAGTATCTGGGTCATCTGTACATGTTTTTATATATTGATTGTTACTTACCTTCCACTGATTCTTTTGATCTAGTAATTTTTTATTGTATGCCAGACACTGTGGATAATACTTTGTAGAAGCTCTGGATTATGTTATCTCCCTCTAAAGAGTATTGGATTTTGTTCTGGCTGGCAGATAAATTACTGGCAGATCACCTTAATTCTGATGAAAATTGGATTTAGCCGTTGTTATGATGAGATTATTTCAGTTTTGATCTTACTCCTAGGGTGTAGCCCTTGTTCTTATATAGAGCATGATCTATATTCCTAGGGCATGGCCGTTTATGTGTCTCAGCTAAAAGCTCAGGCATTCACCAGTATCTACTCTAGGTGAGTTATAACTCTACGATCTTCCCAGCACTGTGCAGTCTCTGAAATTTCTGCTCAGCTCTCTAGCATCCTAGATGTTGTTCTCTGCTAAGTCTCCTGGAATTTCACCCTATGCTCATACGGCTTAGGGCCAAGGATAAGAATTTAAAGATTTTGGGGATCCTTCTCTGAAATTCCCCTCTGTGCAATTTCTATCTCCCCACCACCTGACCTCCAAATCCCAGCCACCTGGCAGCCCCAAACTTCCGTCAGTTTCCTCTGCCCTATGAGAGTGCTACTTTCTGCTTGGACTCAGTTTCTCAAGCGGAGTGAATGTGGAGGTCACCTCACTTGTTTCTGTTCTTTCAAGGATCATACTTCCGTTTTTGTTGCAG